CAGTCCATGTTTGGCACTACTTTTTCAAAAATCTGTTTTCTCAAAACGATTTGCCAGATTTGGACTCTTTGGTTTAGATTAAGAACCATGACACAAATCGAAGAGTCCGAACTGTAGCATCGAGGCCCCTCCCGCGGGCGCTGCTACAGTTTCTGGCGACTCTGCTGGGGAGTGTTAGAGAGCTTGACTCGAACTCGTGATATCCTGTTTTGATTTCATTTATGTGTTTCTTTGCATTGCATGTGCATTGGTGCGCCTAGGAACACAGTGTTTGCCATCTGCCATTCATGAACGGTTTGCCGGAGGCTTGTCTTGTCAAGGCATGACCATAAGGCTGACCGGTTATGGGCTCTGACAGTATGGGAACACAAACCCCGGTTTTACCGGGGCGCCCCTTTTGACCATTCGACCTAGTACATAAATTCCAAGATAGGACAGGTTGCTTACCCGTTTACAGGTTGTTTGAAACCGCTGTGTGCGTAGTGAAGCCCTAGCTCCTGACAAAATAGGACAGGGAAACCCTACCCCAACATAGGGGTGTTTTGGCTCTCCTTACGTGCTATGTGCTTCTAGAGTGTATCTCTACAGAAATGTGCATATCAGTTTGCAAGTCTGAGGCATCAGGCCTAAGGGCATGGGTATCAGAATTTGAGAATCAGTTATATCCGCGAGTATCAGATTCAGCATCTTGGGAACAGTGATCAGTGTTGGGGAACATTGTGTTCGGTTTACCAACTGCGTATTGTGAAATGCCCAACCGTGTGTTGTATGTGTTTATTTTACGACGTTGTGCTGTCCGATTATTCGTTTATTTACTGCTTTATTTATCTTTTTGCTAGGTAGCTTAGCACTATTGCTTCCAACCCGGTAGATATTCCCCAAGCACTCTGGATCAGAGGTCGTCGGCTTCATCGATCTGAGGATCTGATAGACGGACAACTAGTGTACCACTCCCTACCCCCAGTTGCTAGGCGGAGGACGGTTAGGCAGAGGGCATTAGTCCAACAGTCAGTTCAGAGAGCTTTATCTACTCCACCCGAGTTCAGTAGAGATCAGGGTTCTGTTTCACCTACAGAGAGGGAACATATACCAGTAAACCAAACAGAGCAGAGTAATATGGCTAGCTTAGAGGAGATGGTGCGCCAACTTCAAGACAGTATGAAAGTGATGCAGCAGGATGCTGTTCGGCAGGCAGAATTCGCCAAACAGCAGGCCGCGGTTGTGAGCGAACAAGCAGAGTTGATCGGGAGGTTACAACAGCAAGACGGAGCGTCTGCGTCACAGCAAGTTCCTCCCCCACCAAGGGTTCTGACACCCGAAGAAACACCGAATACCAGGAATATCCAAGAGGATACCGACCTTCCAACGGGGCCAGCTCCGCCCCCGATTCTGCCTCAACTATCCAAAGCACCCACTCCTGCCAATCAATTGGATTCTCCCTTTGAGTCCGAGGTGGACCCCATGGCATTAAAAATGAGCAAGCTGGAAAAGCTGTTTAAGAAATCTCAAGGTGTGAAGTCCATCCCGGACATTGGAGACGGATACACCGACGCAGCCGTGATGCTGCCAGACCGATTTAAGATGCCACAAATTGATCGTTTTGACGGATCTGGAGATCCTATGGTGCATTTACGACTGTTTTCAGACATCCTAAGGCCAATGGGCCTCACTAGACCGCAGAAGCTGTCTTTATTCAGCCGGACCCTGTCAGGTGTAGCGGCTACGTGGTATGCCAAATTGGAGGATGGTGTCAGGAGAAGTTGGGACGAGATGGCTGAGGCCTTCATCCTGCAGTACTCATACAATGCGCAAATCGAGATCACGACCCGAGATCTCGAGGCAACAAGGCAAGAACCTAAGGAAAGCTTCCCAGAATTCGTAGCCAGATGGCGGGCTAAGGCTTCGATGATGACCTTGAGGCCCACGGACAAGGACCAGATTCGGATGATTGTGCGCAATCTTCAGCCGAAACTAATGCAAAAGATGATTGTAGTCCCCTTCCCTACTTTTTCTGACCTGCATGAAATGGGGGTGCAGATTGAAGACGCCTTGAAGCAAGGATTGATCGATAGTGACCGGGAGCAGCCCCGCCGAACTTTCAATCGCAGCACCAATACAGGCCCGAGTGGCACCACAGCTACCAGAACCTCTGAAGTGAGTATGGTCACCACCAACCCTTCCCCAAGAAATATGGCAGCCACACCATTCTCCGGTGCGTCCGGAAGTAACCCACAAACAACCAAATACCCTCCCAGAAACACCAGAACCTTCGCTCCGCTTTATATGCCCCTGTCCAAAGCTTTGGGGGTTTTGATCAGAAAAGGGCACCTGAAGCCCCTAGAGCCGCGGCCCTTACCAGAAAGACTCCCCGCCGCCCACAATCCGGCCAAGTATTGTGCATTCCATCAACAACACGGTCACGACACCGACCTGTGTTTTCGATTGCGCCATGAGATTCAAGATCTCATTGATAACGGGGTGATTTTACCCCCTGAGAAACCCAATGTTACTACAAACCCCCTCCCCACACATAACCAAACTCCACCACCCAAAAGAATCAATTTCATTCATACTGGGGTCACGCCCTACGATCCTAGTATCTATATCACACCCTCCTACCTACCCAAGCCAGAAATTGCCCTCCCTGATTGCACTGATTTGTGCATGATGGATGTCTCCATAACTCAACCCAAGCCAGCGGTGGTGACCATCCTGAGCAGGAGAGAGAAGACCCCAAAGGAGAAGGAGGCTGTCGAGCCGGAATCTGCAGAGTCTGGGAGTGATATGGATAATGTTTGCTAGGTAGCTTAGCACTATTGCTTCCAACCCGGTAGATATTCCCCAAGCACTCTGGATCAGAGGTCGTCGGCTTCATCGATCCGAGGATCTGATAGACGGACAACTAGTGTACCACTCCCTACCCCCAGTTGCTAGATGGAGGACGGTTAGGCAGAGGGCATTGGTCCAACAGTCAGTTCAGAGAGCTTTATCTACTCCACCCGAGTTCGGTAGAGATCAGGGTTCTGTTTCACCTACAGAGAGGGAACATATACCAGTAAACCAACCAGAGCAGAGTAATATGGCTAGCTTAGAGGAGATGGTGCGCCAACTTCAAGACAGTATGAAAGTGATGCAGCAGGATGCTGTTCGGCAGGCAGAATTCTCCAAACAGCAGGCCGCGGTTGTGAGCGAACAAGCAGAGTTGATCGGGAGGTTACAACAGCAAGACGGAGCGTCTGCGTCACAGCAAGTTCCTCCCCCACCAAGGGTTCTGACACCCGAAGAAACACCGAATACCAGGAATATCCAAGAGGATACCGACCTTCCAACGGGGCCAGCTCCGCCCCCGATTCTGCCTCAACTATCCAAAGCACCCACTCCTG